TATAATGGCACTGCACGCTGAAACGAGTCTTCATCAGATCAAATTTCAGAAAGGCGCTTGTTGATCGCTGCTGGTATGTTGTCTAGTATTTTGGGTGGATGGTTTGATTTGTTGTGGACGTAAAGTGGAATATTGTTGGGTTTAGTGAACGGCTGATACTTTTGGGTAGACAGATTCAGGGTGACGTCTAAAAAATCCACTATTTTCTTGTTAGCTTCGATGGTAATTTTTAAGCCATGATTCTTGAAGATGGAACAGATATCTTTTTTGATAATTTCAATTATACGGGGGTTCGCTTTTATAACAACAAGCCCGTCATCTCGATAGAGGCCGAAATTCTCACCGTGTTTTTGGGTGATCTTGTGTAACAGAAAAGATCCGACCAGCTCGCACGATTCTGCCCCGTCAAAACTACCCATAGTTACGTCAAACAGGTTGGATAATGTTTTCTTGCCCCAGTGCTCTCTAGAATTATATAGGCATGATTTCTTTGCATGCAGAATAATATCTCTTTCATCATCCGTGATGTCGTCATAATTTGAGGCGAAATCTAGCGCTGCGTTGAGAAGATCGATTGAAATAGATGGGTAGAAATCAACCACGTCAAAACCAATGAATGAATATTGATCTTTGTTCGGGATGTTATTCAACCATGTTAACACAGATAAGGTGTTTTTCCACTGGTTGACTCCAATACTTGCAATTACTTTTTGGTTGATTCGATCAAGGAGTTGTTTGCTTACTTTGCCAATTTGCCAATTTGCCAAAGATCAATATTCATTCATTGCTTTTGACGTGGTTGACTTGGTTGAGGTGGTTGACGTGGTTGACGTGGTTGTAATCTGTTAAGATGAAAATGTTCTAGAGTGTGTATTATATAATTTCCATACCCAGCGCAAGCAGAAAGATGTTGTCTGCCGCGGCTCATGGGTCTTGAACCCGCGACCTTCGAATTACTAGATCGACGCTCTACCTACTGAGCTACACGGTCAGACGGATTTAAGACTGGAAATTATGAAATATATATTGAATGTCATAAAGATACTCGTTTATATTAATTCAGCATCGAACAATATTAGTTGTGCAAGTGTTATGTTAAGTGGTATGGAAATTATATAATACACACTCTAGAACACTTTCATCTTAACATGTTACAGAGTGTAGAATTACACAACTAACACACACACATATATATATGTATATATATATATATATATATATATATATATATATATATATATATATATATATATATATATAT